CGATCTGGAAGAGACATTCGGCATTCTACGCAAGTACAAAATGAAACTGAATGCTTCCAAGTGTGCATTCGGGATCGGATCCGGAAAATTCCTTGGCTACATTGTCAACCACCGCGGAATCGAAGCCAACTTGAGACAAATCACAGTAATCCTAGAACTCGGCTCTCCTCGGTCTGTCAAGGAGGTTCAAAAGTTGATGGGAATGGCCGCCGCACTCAACAGGTTCATCAGTCGTTCCACAGATCACTGCCGACAATTCTTTCATACTCTACAGCAGGGTAAAGCCTTTGAATGGACTAAAGAACTTTTGGGGACAATAAGTTGGCGTGGGCAAAGAGTTAACATTGAGCTACAAAACTATTTGTTGGCAAAAGTTTTGTTACTGCAACAAAGTGGTTTTGTGATTTACTTTTTTATTAGAACTTCTAAAGGGTTTGGATTCTCTCAAGTTGGGCATCCAACTTGAGTGAGTGTTTGGGTTTGTTGGGTCCATTTTGCGGCTAACCTTTGAATTGTTCATTTTTTAAAACTTGTTGAGTAGACTATTTATGTAAAAAATTAAAATGATCAAGTATCGATAGTTATATGCTTGAATCACATTTGTTTTTTTAAAAAAATGAAATATTTAGGTGGTGACTCTGTATCTGGCAAAGCAGTCCATGTTTGGCACTTCTTTTCAAAAATCTGTTTCTCAAAACGATTTGCCGGATTTGGACTCTTTGGTTCAGATTAAGAACCGTGACAATTTGAGAGTCCGAGCTGTAGTGACCCCACAAATGAACAGAACGGGACTCATCCTCCCGGGGCGTTCGGGGACGTCTACAATTATATATAAGTTATATGTAAAAAAACTCAAATAACTCAAATAGCAAGCTCGATATATACTATCTTGGTCTCTTATATTAGAACAAGTTTTCTTTAGCATTTCTTCGAACATATTCTAGGGTTGATCCAGGCCCCCAACAGAAGCAAAATACCAAGAACCCAAAAGTTTCCTTTACAAACTTAAAGATAACTTTGAAGTACCAAAGTTTGAGCTGAAATTAATCGAAATTTTTAAAACTTGAGAACTTACAAATATTAAAGGTAACATATAAGGGTTTTCCTACAAATGAAGGGGAAGTTTAGTATAAATTGAAAAACAAGAAGGCCATAAAACACACCATCAATCTTCATTGTTCAAAAGCTAACACCACTCATAATTGGAATGGCAACTAATTCTTTGTCATATGTAGAAGTTAGAACCACTATCTTCAAGATTTGAATCACCAAAAGTCCAATAATAATTAAAAACTATAATCAATTTTTTCACCAAGGATAAAGAGAAATGAAGGGCAGTCCATGCCTGCAAAATTGTGAGTTACCTCTTTGAGAATAGTTTCACCATCATTGACAATCTTTGGAGGTCCATACTTGTTTTGCAACACCACATTCCTACCCTTTGGACCCAATGTCACTCCCACCAACTCTGCCACCAAGTCCACCCCTGCCTGCACCAAACAAAACCAAAACAAACTAATCATTACCACACACTAACCACATTGATCGCAATTTCCAGTTACAACTCAACGATTCATTAGGGTTACGACACAATGTGGTTGAATAATAACATCAAACACATTGCATACGCATTACAAATTGGGTTTGGCTTATGTTGACAAGACAAAATGCCAAAATATTTATATCCCAATACACTAGTAGTGACTAAAAGAAACCAGCTCACAATTTAGATTCAGAGCTTGAAACTATTATACCCTCCTAAACCAAATGATCCATACCTAAAATTATAATCAGTCCTCAAAAAATACAAAATCAGTTCCAAAATCAAATCGAAATTCAGAATATACTAGTCCCGAAAATCAGTTCCAAAATCAGTCCAAAAATTAGAATATATCAGTCCGAAAATCACAATATCAGTCCGAAAAATCACAATATCAGTCCGAAAAATTAGATTGATGACAAAGAAGAAAAAGAGGAAGATGAGAAAGTGTGGAGTGTGAGGGAAAAATCAGTCCCATTGATTGTGTTGTGTTCTGCAATGCTGAACAAGAGAATGAAATTGATGATAAAGAAGAAAGAGAGGAAGATGAGACAGTGTGAGAGAGTGAGAGTGAGAGTGAGAGGGAGAAGGAGAGGGAGAGGAAGTGGGAAAGAGAGACGAAGAAGAGGGAGAGAAGACATACCTCTTTGTCTTCTGTTGTGCCGCTTCAGGTTGTGGAATGAGAAGACGAAGAAGACTCATTTTAGGTCAATCTTGTTTATTCGGTCATTAAAAAAAAAAAGACAGATTAAAAATGACGTCGTTTTGACAAGAAATTTATTGGCGACGAAAATCATTATGTTGCTATAAATATCATTCACCTTTCAGCGACTATTTTAATTCTGTCGCCAAAAAATCTAAATTGGCGACAAACATTTTCGTCGCCATATATTAATTTTGTCGCCAAAACTTTTTTAGCGCTCCCGCGCAAAAAATTAAATTGGCGCCAACCATTTTTGGCGAAGAATTGAGATATTTGTTGCTAATGGTGTATTTTTTGGCGACTAACACGTATATTGTCGCCAAAAATATACAATTGGCAACTAAATTCAATTTGGTTGCTAAAAAACGTCGCCAAAAATGCTTTTTGTTGTAGTGAGATCTAAGTTCACTTTCGCCGAGATCGAAAGAGGAGGCTGATTGGCGGTGATAGGATGAGGGAGAGGACAGCGGAGAGAGGGAGACCGGCGATGATTCACTTTCACCGAGATCGAAGGAGGAAAGAGATCGACGGTGATGAGAGGAGGGAGATCGAAAGAAATGACAGCTGAGGAAGGGAGATCGGCGATGATGGAAGGGTTTTAGAGAGAGAGAGATGAGAGGAGGTGGGTCAGTCTGTTTGTGTGAGTGCGAGGTGAGGTTGTGTAAGGGTTTGTTTTATATATAGAGGGGTATAATCGTAATTTCACATCGGGAAAATAGGCAAGGGCCAGGCCAGGTCTGGGGCTGGAGAATGTATCATTGTCCCTGGCCTGAAATTTGTCAGAGATTCATTTTCAAATACCATTGATTAAGGCCGAAATGTACGTCATTGAGGCCGTTAATTAGAATCTCTTAACTTCACTTGGTGGTCAAACTGTATATTTTATGTGTGTTGAGTGTCAATCAGGTTGTACATCGTCGGAGCATAAAATGAGCAAAAAGACAGAATTTGGGCAGAGTTGACTTTCCCGCACGTGCGTTGACTTTTTCTAAGAAAGTCAAACCGACGTTTTAAACCTGTTTAGACGAGATTGGAAGTATAAAAAGGCAAGTAAAAGGCTGGATTAGGGTTCGGAAGTTGTTTTGACCAAAAGAGGGAGGCTAGGGTTTTGAAGGGAAGAGAAACAAAAAGCTTCAAGGATGTCTCCCATGGTGGTTTCTTCTCCATCTACCTCCTTTCACTCCTCCATGAGTGGCTAGTCTCCTTTTTCTAGGGTTTCATCAAAACCCTAGCCATGTAATTATTTAGTTTTCTTTTTGATTTTTAATTATGTAAAGGTTTGAACATTTGTATGATGATTTAGAAGTTTGTTTTATATAATTTTCATTATTCTTTCGAATATTTGACTTTCTGTGATTGTTAAATGTTATCCATACAATTGTTTTCTTTTCCTTCACATTCAAGGTATGGGACGAACCATACTACGAGGAACGAGTCGTATCACTACCTTAGTTTAGAGTTAACGGTTCGTATTACTTGAGATGGTTCGTGCTCGTACATTGAATGTGATGATCTTCTTGTTAAATGCTTTGAGTTTGTAGTTGCGAAACATTAATCCGTTCAAACCATAGCATAATTGATTTCAATTGGAAACCCTAATTATGTAGTTAGTGGTGAATTCTCTACCCTAGGATTTTTCCCTAATTCAGTAAACCCAATTTCATTTATTATTGATAATTTAATTCCTTAGTTTAATTTATTCGTTATTAAATTAGGTTATAAACAACCAATCTTTTTATCAAAATTAATTTAAGAATTTGACAATTAAATTAGTTTAATTTCACAATAGTCCCTATGGATCGATACCTGGACTTGCCATTATTCTGATAGAATTTGGTATAGTTTAGTATTTAATTTTGGTGTGTTCAACGACCCATCAAATTTTGGCGCCGTTGCTGGGGACTTCTGGCGAAATTAGTTAATTTAAAGTTACATTCTTATTTTAATTTTTAGTTTAGGATTTTATGCTTTTGGTGTTGCTAAGTATGCAGAGCGTTTGAAATTGGAGCTATCACTGAAGTGCAAGCGGAGCGCAGCCGAACTTTAAAAATAAAAAAAAAAACCGCAGCGCTAAAGTGAGTAAACAGAAGCAAACACTCACAAGCAAAGCACCAAAGTGCTAAAACGGAAGTCAAAGCTCAAACAGAGGTTGGAGACAACGTCTACACGTTAAGCATCCGCAAGACGAGTAAAGCGTTTTCGTTAAACCCTGTGAGTATTTCTTCCTTTGGTATTTTGCTTTCATACTTAGTGCCCAGAGTCGAAACTTGTGTGTGTGTTTGGGTAGTGTATGCACAGGCGTCATTCTTGTCACCCTGAATTGTGGAGTTTGGACCTTGAACTAGAAACGACCCTTAGGAGACTTAAGACCTCTGCCCGTATTCCTAGGCTTGAATATTCATACATTGAGCCATTAGAGATGGCAGATCCTAATGTCCCGAATGTACCTAACCAGACACTTAAGGATTATTTTACACCCACCGCATATACATCACCATCACGTATCCAATTACCCAACACCACTGCTGCTCATTATGAGATTAAGTCCAGCACTATACAAATGCTCCCATCATTCCATGGACTACCTCATGATGACCCTTATAAGCATTTAAATGAATTTTTGAAAATTTGCTCGACAGTGAGGATCCAGAATTTCACAAATGAGGCCTTAATATTGCGATTGTTTCCATTCTGGTTAAAGGATAAAGCCAAACACTGGCTAAATTCTTTACCTGCTAATTCAATCACAACTTGGGACCAATTACAGCAACAGTTCTTGGAGAAGTACTTTCCCATAGGTAAAACCAACCAGCTTAGGCGAGCCGTCACAAACTTTGCTCAAACGGATGGCGAGCAATTCCATGAGACGTAGGAAAGACTTAGAGACCTTCTCCAACAGTGTCCTCACCACCAAGTGCCTAATTGGCAACATGTTCAAACATTTTATTATGGCTTAACTGAGCCGCACCGCCAAATGGTGGATTCGTCCTGTGGTGGGACATTTATGTCTAAAAATGATGTCGAGGCATGGCAATTGTTTTAGAACCTAAGTGATAATTCCCTTCACCATGCATCCGCAGCCCGGCAAGTCCGGCAATCCGTAGTTGGAGCCCCGAAAAGAGGGAGCATTTATGAGGTCGGGCAAAATCTAGAGTTAGCACAACAAGTAGAGGCACTGTCCCGCAAGATGGACCAATTATTAGCTACGGGACATGCCCCTACCCAACAAGATCAGCCTCAATTTCACGAGGCATGTGTTATTTGTGCGAGCCCTGCTCATGACTTGAGTGAGTGCCCTTCGGCATCACAATTTTCGGAGTTAGTCCAAGAGCATGTGAATACGGCTCAAGGATTCTCCAACCCGGGTACTGATCCATACTCCAACACATACAATCTGGGATGGAGAAATCACCCTAATTCTCATGGAGACCCCCTTCACAAAGCACTTCTTACAATCCGCCACCACCAAGGTAGAATTTCAATAATTTTGCCAACCAATCATCCTACCGACCACCGCAACCTTATCGACCCCCACAACCGTACCGGCAACCACAACCCCTGCCTGTTCCTCAGGGCAACTCTACCTTTGAGACTCAAGTTTTGGAAGTTCTCGCAGAACTTAAGGGGTTAGCACTGATAGTTCACTCACATACTCACTCTATTGCCAAGCTAGAGGCCAATTGGGTCAAATGGCTAATAACATGAATCGAAGAGATGAGGGAAAATTACCAAGTCAAACTGTGGCCAACCCTAAGGGACAATACGGGGCAGAGAGTTCGGGTGGGAATGGTAAGCAACATGAGCAAGTGCAGGCGGTGGTTGCTTTAAGAAGTGGTAGGGAGTTAGAGCCTCAGTCAGTTGCGTCTGATGCAACTAGAGTTAGGAAGGGTGACCACAGTGGTTCACCTAGGGAGAATAAGGGTGAGGGGGAAACACTTAAGAGGGATAACTTAGTCCCCAACACTTCATTTGAGCCCAAGGCACCATATGTGCCTAAGGCACCCTTTCCACAGTGCCTTGATACACCGTCTCCTTTTAATAAGAAGGCGGCATCTATGGAGGCAATGATGGAGGTCTTTAAACAGGTAAAAATCAACCTCTCCCTGTTGGAGGCGATTAAGCAAGTACCATCATATGCCAAATTTTTGAAGGACCTTTGTACGTAAAAGCGTAAATCTAGGACACATGTATCCCAAAAGGTCCTACTCACGGAGCAAGTAAGCTTCATCTTGTTGAATGACACACCTCCTAAGCTTAAGGACCCAGGTGCCCCAACCATTGCATGCATTATAGGGGACCACTTCATTGATAGGGCCTTATTGGATTTAAGGGCTAGTGTTAATTTGTTGTCGTACTCTGTGTACGAGGAATTTGGGCTTGGCGAGTTGA